TGCAGGCTGCTGGATGCCAACCTCCTTGAACTGGCCAATTGTGATATCTGTGATGATGTGCTCGAAGCCGTCGGACCACTTGGCCGTGATTGGGTCGCCGTTCGTGTCGCCCATGATGCACTCGTCGTCTGCGAACTCCTTCCTGTTCGCATCAGAGGTGCTACTCCGCCATGCCTGTCTGAGCTCGGCGTCCCAACCTACGTAGCATTGCTCCTCATCGTCCTCGGCGACAGGCAGCTGATTCTTGAACTCCTCAATCCACTTTGGCACTTTCTTTTCATTCAAAGCCTGGCTCGTGTGCCGTGTCTGCGCAAGAATCCTATCAGTGATCGTCTTCGTCCAGTCGTGTCGGTGGGACTCCTGCTTGAACCGCGTTTTTTTCCTCACCGATCGTAGCCATGATGCTGAGAATGGTGCTCCTGTTGAAAATCAGAATGCCTCCAGTCTTCTCCCCGAGCTTCAGATGCATCTCGAAATGCGGCTTGATCAATTCTGGTTTGCGGACCGATGCGACGTACGGTCGGACCAAGTTAATGCCATCATCCACGCTGAGTTCGGCTCGTCTGCGTGACATATACTCATATATGTGCTGTGTCGACCTCCGATCTGCGCCGACCTCCGAGCCAAAACGGCCGCGGGTGGGGGAAGATGAAGACGAGGAGGAACAACCAATCCAACAACGCATCACTTGTCATCTGTAACCTGCGCACAGGTCCAAGACACTGTCTCGCCGACCATCTGCCCACGTCCACGGGTCCAAAAATCTGCCCCACGAAGCGCGTGAAGGGTGTGCCGACAAGGGCGGGGCGGCATGCGAGCGTTGCAACTGAAGCCGCCAGTGGAGATCCCCATGGGGCCACGAAACGTGTGAGAGGCGTGCCGAAGTGGGCGGGCGGCATGCGAATAACGCACCTGGAGCATTCGATGGAGTTCCTGATGGGTATGAGACTGTCTGGTCTTGCTTTTGCATGGGGCCACGAACGTGTGCGGGGTGTGCCGAATTATAGTGGCACACGCAATCGATACGTAGATTGCTTCATCCCTATACATATATATATATATGTGTGTATATGATTATGGCGTGTACGTACAGGTGCATACATGTGACACGTACATATATATATATATATATGTATGTACTGCATGTATGCACATAACACATGTTTTACATATGCACGATACATGTATACAGTATACGCGTGTATGTACTACACATGCATGTTTTACATGCACAAGCACACGCATGCTTACGTGCTGACCATGCAGTTTCTACATGTATGCATATGGCCATACACATGTGTCACACACGTACAGTACATGCTTCGGGCATGTTTAGGATAACGCATATGAGAATCAAATGCACACGCCATATGCGTACATACATTCGGGTATATATTTACACACAACATACACATAATATCGTATTGCACCTTCGGTTATATATACACATCATATACATCGGTTGTGTACATACATACAGACATACATACTGCCACGGCCCCTGACAAATCCCTTCTCTTATCTGTGATCTGTGGTTTGTATTTCAGTGTTTCCGCACCGTCCGTTCCCACTTGTGTTGGAGGTACATCTAATATGGCCTGCCCCGTGTGGGCATTTGGAGTGCGAGCGTAATATTGCAAAGCCGTGCCGTATTGTTTGATGGGTGCCACATTATTTGTAAGGTGCATGACTATTAAGGGCGCAGGACTATTTTAAGGGTGCAAGACTATTGTAAGGGTGCAGCATTATTTTAAGGGTGCAGGACTATTTTAAGGGTGCAAGACTATTGTAAGGGTGCAGCATTATTTTAAGGGTGCAAGACTATTTTAAGGGTGCAGCACTATTAAAAAAGTGCCAGACTATTTTAAGGGTGCATGACTATTTTAAGGGCGCACGCAAATTTTAAAGCTGCAAGACTGAATTAAGCAGCCATACTAAACATAGGCCGGATGAGACCTCCAGGGGTCGTAGTTGCTGTTAGCCATTCCCTCCAGGAAGCGGTCGATCATGTCGGGCTTCCAGCAGGACGGGTCAAACTTGACTTGGTCCCTGGTCTTGCCCCTTTCCTGGCCCATATGCCTGCACCAAGAGTGCCAGGCTGCGGTGAAGTAGTAACTCCCCTCGGCCTTCAGCCTCTTCAAGTGGGTGGCCGCCGTCTCGTCTGGGCGTCTCGGCCAGTTGACGCGGCGGTCTTCCCAGGGGCGGTTGTGATCAGGGCGGCGGCGCTCATCCTTGTGTTCAGGGTTGCGGCGATCGTCGTGTCGCTGCCAGGAGCCCCACCCTCCGCTCCTGTCGCGATCGCGGTCCCCGTCGCGGTCGCTCTCTCTGGCTCGGTCCCGGTCACTGGTGTCTCTGGACGGGCACCGCGCCGTGCTGTCGTATCGGTCCCGGGTCACTCCCCCTGCCGCGCGCGCGACCGTACTCGCGCGTAAGGTGGGGGTCGGGTGCGGTGCGCCCGGCTCCTGTGGCCGCAGTCCGGAGCCGTGTGTGCAGGGCGCGGTCGTCGGCGCCGGCCATCGCGGGCTCGCTCTGTTCCGTGGATTCGTGGGCCTGGCGGGCCTGGTGCGGCGTGTCGGTGTCGCGTTCAGGGCTGCTGCGTCGCACCTCCTGGGGGCTTGTCCCGATGTGGACCTGCCGATGTGCTCCAGGGTCTGGGGAAGGTGAGACCGTGTGGACTGTGCCTGCGGCCTCTGCCAGCCTCTGAGCCTGTTCCTCCTCCTGGTCTTCGTTGGTGTAGCCGGGGATCTCCTCCTTGGTGTGTCCGTACGACGGCGGCTCGTGCGTGGGGTCCCGCGCGACCGTCCGTGGCGCGCGGGCCTGGGGCCTGGACTTGGGCTGAGCCCCTTCTGCAGACGCCGCTGTGGCGTTTCCAGGGTCGGCGCCGAGCCAGGAGCTGGCAGGGGCCGCTGGCTCCTGCGGAGCTTGTGCCTTTTCGGGGGCCCCCTCCAGGAAGGCGGCCGCACAGTTCGCCGCATTGCCGCGTAGGACGTCGGCGCGTAGCGTCTTGGTCCCGGCACCCCAAATTTCAAGCCACTCGTTGCCTATTTGGACGATCGGGAATCGTTGTCCGTTCTCCCTGAAGATCTGGACGTCGCGGATCGGTCCGAATACTGCTCCGTCCAAGGGCTGCGTGAACAGGGGCACGGTGCTTTGCGCTGCTCTAAACCACCTGGCTCGGGGGAGGGTATCGTTCCCGATGACCACTTAGTCGCCGCTCTCGATGTCTGGGCTGTCAGTCGTAATCGGGCGGGTGGGGGCCTGGAGGGGTTTGTCGCGGTCGCGATCCGCGCGCTCCAGGAGAGGATCAGGGACTGCGGTGGCAGCTGGTGGGGCCCCCGCGGACTTGGTCGCCGTGGGTCGCGTCTTGGGAGGGATCGAGGCCGGCTCGCTGTCGCTCGGCGTGGGCGGTAGTTGATCGGTGGGCGTCAGGCGCCGGTCCTTGATGGGCCTTGGGCTGTATGTGGGGTCAGGGGTACGGGTGTTGCGCCCGTCTGTCCGGGGGACGTCGTCCTGCTGGGGCCCGCTGCTGGTCGCAGGCTGCGGGGTCCGCTGAGCTGCCGCGATGGTAGCTGCGTCTGTATGTTTGGCCTCGTCGCTGCCTGCGCCTCCGGCGTCCTGGCCCCTCATCTGTGCCACAACCCGTACGTGCGTCTCCCTGGCCGTCATCCGTCGCGTCCAGGCGCGACGCTGTTGCTCGTCTTCCGGCGGAGGCGGCGGTGCGCCGCTGAGGCGCTCCTGGTGGGCGCGCGCCTCCTCATCCCAGGCGGCAGTCCAAAAACACAGGGGATCTGCCACATTTCTGAAATCGGGCGGCACCCCTCATGCAGATCGGCAGGGTCTGAGCCACGACGCCTTACCAATCGCCAGGTGTGGTAACCTCTCTGGTCATCTATTGGTTTTGCTCATTACGAGTCGGCCTCGCATGAAGTTCCGATACTGCTTCACGACAGCGCCCAGGCCTCATGACATATCTCTTGCATAGCGCATTCTCCGAGAGAGGGGGCCGGCGGCAGGGGGCGAAGCCCTTGCGGATAGATCCGCCACCGTGCCTCTGGGCACGGAGTGGGCGTGCCCTCAGGTCCTTGCCATCATCCTCTCAACCTCAATCATCACGCCTCAGGAGTCGTTCAGAGCCCCAGACCCTACATCGCGACATTTTCTCCTGGGGCTTCTCGCGGTTTCTCGCGTGACCGTTTCGGAGCGATGGGGGCCCCAGAACGGGCCCAACAGGGCCCAAAGAGGCCGACGACGGCCCAGAACGCCCAGAGACGCCCAAAGATCGCTCCAAGACGCCCTCAATGGCCTCAAGATGACCCAAGAGGCCTCCAAGATGCCCCAAGAGGCTTCGAAGATGCCTCCCAAGAGGACCCTGAGATGCAAAAATCATTGATTTGCATTCGTTGTTTTAAAGATTTTGGCGTTGTCGCCGCGTTTCCTTCCCGACGCTCTCAGACGGCCCTCGAGGCTCCCAATGCCACCCCAGGACTACCCAAGAGGCCTCCAAGAGGGCCCCAAAGCAGCCCTCGACGGCCCAGCAGGCGCCCAAGACGGCCCAAAAGAGTGGCCCGAGAGAGGGAACACGGACCGCGAGCGTTCCTCCCCAAGAGGCCCCCAGGAGGCCCCAAGAGGCACTCAAGAGGCTTCAAGAGTCTCCAAGAGGCGCCCAAGGGTCCCAACAGCGACCCCAAGAGGCTCCAAAACTGCCCCCAAGAGGCCTCACAACTGCATCCAAGAGGCTCCGTAAAGGTTACCCTCGAAATTCTACCGAAAATCCAATCGGCTTCACACCCACAACCCAGGCACTGTGGCGGGATGGGCCGAAGGCCATTCGATAGAGAGGAGTCCTAGGTGCAACAGAGAATCAAGAGTCCAGGGAGCAAGGCTCAAACCTGGATGTTTCACCTGAACACTTCCTACCGTGTTCGGAAATGCAGCCCGACAACAAACGAATCAAACATACGTCGCTCAATTGGGGTCGGCGGCAGAGGCGGCAACCTTTCGATAATTACAATGACAAAAAAGACTAGATCTGGAGCGGGTGACACGCGTCTCCCTCGCATGATGACAGATTTGGCCCGAAGCTGTCACACTGAGGTGAATCTGGCAATTCAGAAGGACTCACTCGTGTATTGAAAGTAGACTCTGGTGATGAGGAATCTCCTGTAATTGGTGATCGCCGCCGAGTGTTTCCGCTGACAGAAGTGCTAAGCTCAACAACTTCTTGGAGCGAGTGCCGCACGTCATCGATCGATTCGGGCCGCATTCCGGGGCTCACGGCGAGACAGGAATGCACTATGTGGCGTGCTCGATCTGCCAGAAAAGATCTTTCAGAGCTCGGCCAGGCCAATGTGCCCTTGGGATCCTGCAACACTTCGCTCTTGGACGAGATACCCTGCATCGGTGACAAACCGTGCTCCATGAAGTAAGCAATCGCACCAAAGGCGAAGATGTCCATGAGATGCGCAAGCTGCACGCGTGAATCCAGCACCTGCTCCGGAGGCATCCACTCTGCCGTGCCTCCTCCAGGTAACGCAGTAGGAGTAATCAACCGGGCCAGGCCGAAATCTATGAGTTTGAGTCGCGGCTTCCAACCGACATCAAGGATCATCAAATTGCTTGGCTTCAAATCGCCGTGAATGATAGGTGGATCCTGGGCGTGCAAATACTGAAGTGCTCGGCTGAAGTCCAAGCAGAGCTTGAGACAACACGCTTCCGAAAGACTGGTCACGCACGAGTTGAGACTCACCCCGTCCACGAACTCCAGCACGAGGCCGAAGCATGTGTTGTGGTCGATGAAAATGGCACCATGGAATAGGACTATATTTGGATGGCGCAGGCGACGGAGCAAACGAATTTCATTTGAAAGCGCGTGCAAGTGGGACGCCCCGATGCCTATCCATTCACACATAGGAGCGAGGGGCATCTTCACGACTGCGGGCGTGCCATGCAAATGCGCCAGGCAGACCTTACCGAAGCCGCCCGTGCCAATGACCCTGTCATGCTCGATCGTGACGCCGGAGTCGAGGACCCAGCGTTCCTTTCGACCCAGAGCTACAATGTTGTCGACCTTCTCTTTGAGTTGTCCATTCAAGCCAAGGTTTGCAAAAATGGCTTGGCTCGAGACTTCTGACGGAGCCCCCTTCTTGCTCGCCAACTGAGAAGATAGCTTGAATTCCGTAATCACGCGGAGTGATTTCTCCGAAAGGTACTTCTTGAAGAGGTAGCGCTCTGCGCACTCGGTGTGGCGCTTTCCCAGGGCGAAGAAGATGCTCATCACGCACCACGGGACCATTCCATACCAGCCAGAATGATTTCCTATGGAAAAAGATCCCTGATTCCAGGAGTGCGAGAATACTTCCCACAAGGGCCACCAGAACATGGACACGAGCTCCAGTGGGACCAGCACGTACCATCGCACAGGCACCATCAAGTGAGTGCCTGACAGCCACAGGATAGTCATCAACATGTGGTTCTGGTTGTTCGATGACCTTATGAAGTCAGCATCATCGAGGCTAGTCTGCAAAAGCAGTGAAATATAGAACTTCCCTGAGCTGGCAGCGTAGACGATGGTCACGATGCCCATGGCCACGCAGTACGACTCACGAGCAAAGCTGCCCATACGATTGTTGAGCCGCGGCACGAAGTATACGACAATGTAGCAGACAGTCGAAACGAAGAGCGTAGCCAAAAACCATACCCTAAACCGCACGAGCCATGTAGGTTCAGCCAGCGAGCCAACATTGTCTGCCAGAACACGCCACAGTGTCCCGATGATGATAAACATCTCAAGGCATACGGCGATGAATAGGTTTCTGTTCAGCCGTGGTGCGCAATATTTCGAGTAGCCTAGTTCGTCATGCCGATCTCGAAACTTCAGCGTGTACCATGAAAGGCCTATTTCTGTGCCGATCCATTCTTCCTGGTGTGAAGCATTTCTCACCATGCCCGACCCCGTCACAAGTCTGACAAGCGCCCCTTTGTGCCGCGACGGCAATCCAACCAAGAGATGGTCTCAACGACGACGGCTCGAGCCCAAACGGCTAGGGCTTGAGCCAAAATGACTACCGATCTATACAATTGTTGGTCGTTGCTGATGGGAAGGGTTTGAATGTTGGTTCATTTTGGCGGCGGCTGTGAATTTTGACTCGCTGGCAGGCTGAACATCTGGATCCCCTTACGCGGCTGACTCACAACGGAATTCGCGGCCAAGACTGCAGACGCCACAGCGCTACACCGACGAACAACAATCACACCGCCGGCATCCTCACTCGCCGTGCTCCAAGATAATATATAAAGCGTCTGGTCAGGCCTCCTCCCTGCTTTGGAAAGACCCGTCCACGGGCTGCGGCTTGAAACATCCCGAGACCATCCTGCTGGGTGCCGCATGATCGTCGAGGGCAAGAATCCATGCTGGATCGTCCCCAAGCCCCGCGAACTACACCTCAAGGTCGTTTTTACCTGTGCACGTATTCTGCGTTGAGTCTGTGGCGCACAGTAGACCAAGTCACGGTGATAACGTTTGCGCATTTCTCCAAGGAGAGGAGGAAGATGATGAGGGAAAGGAGGAAAGCTCACGTACATTATTGCACTCTTGCGCGCCACTGTCGCGCAGGCAACGCTTGAAGAAGAGAGAAAGGATAGGTGCAAAGATGATGAGAACAATAATAACGAGAGGAGGAGGAGGAGGAAGGGGAGGAGGAGAAAGATGAACGCAGTGATGGAGGGGGGAGGGATGAGAAGAACAGGGAGGGCCACACATGATACCACAATCCTCCACTCACGTATATGTAATATGTACACAGATACATGTATTTCCATGCGCGCAGGATATACAACAGACGAAAGAAAAGACGAGCTGGCCCCGACATCCTCGACGCGGTATCGAAACCTCTCGGCGTCTGCCAGCTGCATGGGCAGCGGCCTCAAGGCGCCGGTGCCGCCGGCAGAGTCCTCTGGGGACGGAGGCCTGGGTCAAGCAAACCTCCTCGTCGTCGCCCTCCTTCTCCTCCTCTTCCTCCTCCTCCTCCTCCTGCTCCTCCTCAGGCACCTGGGCAATCTGGGCAATCTGAAATAGTCCTGCAGCGTCCAGTGAACAGCGCGGAACTAGAAGAAAGGAAAACTAAGGCCCCGCCCTCCTGACGTGCTCGCCCTCCTCCTCCTCCTCCTCTTCCTCCTCCTCCTCCTTTCCTTTTCGTATAAACAGCTTCCCCCTGTCGCACCCCGAGGCCTGCTTTTAGGGCGGGCCGGGCGTTTCGACTGATACTTCCTTACCACTGATGACTGTGAGGCTTAAGATGCGGCAGCGGCTTCACAGATGGAGGGCGGGTGGTTTTCAAAATGTGGCTCTCGCCTTAGCGCCGCGCGCATTCGTTTCAAAAAAATACAAGAATTTCACAAATGGAGGGCGGGTGGTTTTCAAAATGTGGCTCTCGCCTGAATGCCGCGCACATTCGCTTAAACATGTGCAACAGTTTCACAGATGGATGGCGGGTGGTTTTCAAAATGTGACTCTCGCCTTAGCGCCGCGCAAATTCGTTTCAAAAAAATGCAAGAGCTTCACAGATGGAGGGCGGGTGTTTTCCAAAATGTGGCTCTCGCCTGAGCGCCGAGCACATTCGCTTAAACATTTGCAACAATTCACGGGTTGAGGGCGGGTGGTTTTCAAAATGTGGCTCTCGCCTCAGCGCCGCGCACATCCGTTTTTCACATTTGCAACAATTCACAGATGGATGGCGGGTGGTTTTTTAAATGTGGCTCTCGCCTGAGCGCCGCGCACATTCGTTTTAAACATGTGCAACAATGTCACGGATTGAGGGCGGTTCTTTTTCAAAACGAGGCTCTCGCCTTAGTGCCGTGCACATTCGTTAATGCAAAGAGTTTCACGGATGCCTATGATCAACGGTGTTTGGGACGGATTCTGGATGCGGCTGCAACAGTTATGTTGATTCGCGGTGTTGAAGTCCCACAAATGACGTTGCGCAGGATCTTCAACTCCTCCTCCTCCTCTTCGTTGGAGCGCTCGGGCGCACAGACATCTGCGCGTGCATGTGAGCGGCCGCCGGATCCTGCGCCCGCAGGATGCGCTGGAGCAGCGGGTCCTCCTCTGGGGACGCCAGCGTGAGGGCGGTGCCGCTGGCGCCGCCGCGGGCGGCTCGCCCCACCCTGTCGGGGGCGCGGCTGGAGCCCTGCCGCCCCAAACAAGAGGGGCACCAGTGGCCTCTCTTGCACCTCCTCCTCCTCCTCC